CGCTACCACCCAATCACCTTTCGACGGAGAGGAACAGCGTGATCGGCTGGCAGGCGCCCGGGGCTACCCGCCAACGAGACAGAGCCACCCGGCCCCCCCCGTTACCCAGAGGCATTCTGGGAAGGTCCTCCAGGCGCCGGGCGGAGAGGAGGCGGAAGGCTTGGACAGCTGCGGCCGCGGAGCGTACGCTCCAGCGCCCCCAGCGGCAGAGAAAGAGCAGCGTGTCCGGCCGTGTCACGTAATCCCGCGTTAACGAATGGCTTCAGGAAGTGGTCCGCCGATCACGCGTCCTGAGTTCATCTCGAAAAGCGTAGCGGGTTCGGGAGGATCCGGGGTGAAGGTTAGGCTGAGGACTCCAAGGCAGCGGCAAACCACTTTCTGTCCCTCGGCCATGAAAACGGCACGGACAGAAACTCCCCAGGAGTTGATACCGAACTGAAAGAGGTTTTACTTTCACATCTGAGCCTTTGGACGACCGGTTTCTGAACGAGACTTCCCCAGTCTTGTGGTCGCCAGATGTGTTGGGATGTGACTCGCATCATTCCTACGTAGTTTGAACCATCGCGGGGAAGAGCTGGTCCTAAGCTTTAATTCACTTTTAATGTTTTAATTGATTTGTTAAAGCTATTTTCCAAATTCCCTTCAGGAGTTTAAGATAGAGGTTGCACTGAGAAGGAGTGACTGGTGCAGGGAGCCTTTTGGCGGAGGGGTGGATTTGCACCCGGATCTCCTGTTTCTAGCATCACACTTCCTTTGTGAAGTCACTGCCAACCTTTCCTCTCTCCCAAGTTCATAGAGCGCTTGTTGTCCAAGAAAATGCTAGTGCTGCTATAACAAATGATTTCATGCCCCATGTTTTTACCCAGGATATGCAGATCTTTCATACAAAGTTGGAAAGACTGATGTTTTTGGTTTGTAATCTGAGGAGGGGGAGTGCCTCGCTAGCTTTAAGGACAGCAAGGTTTCTACTGTTGCTGGCACTTCCAGTTACAAAATATCAAAATAGGGAGCTGGTAAAATGAAAAACTAGGTCAGGGAGAGGACTGTCAGTCACAACAAAAGAATCTTCTGGTGAGATAGAAAAGCTGGCTTCACACGTACTAAACTGTGATTTGTTTGGCCAAAGTTTGCTGAATAAGACTCAGTGGTTGGGCTCACACATCATACATATTACTGCTTTGTGGGATATGATCCAACTCATTGTATTACAGAAAATAGATCATGGTTTTTTAAAAAAACCCATGGTTTAGAATGACATGTGAATCTAGCCAATTTATGATCTATATTCATAGAAGTTCTAAAAACCTCTGACTACATATTTTATTAATGTATTAGCAGAAGACATCCTGGCTACACTTTCATATTGTCTCTGGCTTAGCATGAAGGGTGAACCAATTACTCTGGTTTGAGAGTCAAGACTGATGGTTTAAACACAATTTGTGAACCCAGCAATGAAGTCAATCTGTATTCATTAACTATGGCAATTTACACTAGAAGACTGTTAGTAATCAATGCAAATTAATATTATATAGTGGAATCCTATAGAAAGCTTGCTGTTTTTGTCTTTTATATGTATATTCAACATCACATATGTGATGGGGGTGGGGTGACAACAGCACAACGTTGCTTTTATCACTTTGCCACCTCTTGCACCCGCCCCCCATGGATGCTATTGTAAAGATGTGTGCTCAGATGTGCAGATGCTATTGAGATGAGCAGGACTTATTCTTAGGGAAATGTATATGTTTCTTCAAGAAACCCCACTAAGTTCAATGAAATTACTCTCAGATTAACATGTTTCAGACTGTGGTCTTGCAGTATAATTCTGTATTTACTTGGAATGTATTCCCATTCAGTTCAGTAGGATTTACTGATTTGTAAAAGTACCCAGGAATGTAACCATTTCCCGGGGCATATATCCTACAGTGCTTAATGGGACTGCTACGTAGAAAGCTGTTGGCTTTTCTTTGTCAGACAGTAAATAATTGGCTTGCCTTTTATTGTGTTCAGCAATCTGAAATTAGTTGGTTTTGTATAATTTGAACAAATCAAGTTCTTTGAGCCAGCATTTAGCAAAGGAAAGCTACTCAGTGGGAATCCTGGCAATTATGCCAAACAGTTACTTAAGAAAACCTGACTCCAGCTATTTGGCCTATTATCTGGCCAGAATTCAGGAATTGCAAGTGGGAAACACACACAGATATTTCTTGTCTTTTTTTTTTAAACAAATGAAATGTTTAGAAGGTACAGTATGTTAAAATATGTGTACATAGTCTTTTGTATAAAATCCTGTCCTTTAACAAATTATTAGTATTTATCCATATTCCCCCTTTTTAACTTAATTTAAAATGGGTTGAGTTTTCAAAATATTTCATTCTCCTGTTTTAAAGCTGAAGAGAGAGATTGCTCCATAATTTATCTGACAAATTACTCTGTGCCTTTCAAATGGATATATGATGCATGCCATGGTTTCAATCAAACATACCAATTCTTATTCCAGTAGTCATAAGGAGAGAAATCATACTACAATATATTTGGCATCTTCCCTAACCCCTTTACAAATGGCTATGGAATTAAAATGGTAATTTGAACACAAAGCACAAAAATGCTCTGAATATCACACTCAGTTATATTACTGCAAGTTTTGCAGGCTGTTTTGAAAGTTATTTGTAAGTCAGGGATGGGAAATCCACGGCCTAGGCTAGATGTAATCTTCCAGCTCCATTTCTGCAGTTCCCAAAGCCCTTAGGGTCAGGTTAATGAAATCAGGTAGAAAAATGGTGATTCCTTGTGATTCAGCATGTTTATTCAAGCTGCAAAAGGCTTAAAATGTGTTGTTAAGCTTGAGGGAGAGGTATCACACTTTATGTAAACTAACTTCTTCCCAGCCTGCCCATAAAAGTTGACTGAAAGTTTCAGCCTTTACTGTTCCAGTGATATTGACCATCACCAGTAATGTCCTTTAAAACTGTCCCAGTTTTAAAAAAATGCAAGTGAAATTTGGAGGGAAAACTTCCCACTCTTGTGGTAGGCTAATATCTTAGCTTGATCTTTGAGTCCATGTCTTATTTATATGAAAAAAAAAAAAGACTCCTAATTATTTTCCAACTGAGACTAGATAGTCTGTACCTTTTTTATTTCACTTATTTAATAATCCAGCTTGCAATTTTTCCTCTCTGCAGCTTCAATGTATGAATGCCTGCTGATGTCACTTAATGTATTTTATGGACTTCTAGACCTGGCAAACCTATGTCCTAAATTGTTGGAGGTAATGGAAGCTATAATGCAATTCATCTGGAGAGCACTGTGTTTAAAAAGACTGTCCTAATTTAGTACTTTTGTTAGACTTTAAAGTTTGTCTTTTCTTTCAGTAGGCAAACATTTCTACATTTATGAAAACAGTACAGTAGTAATTTCTAAACAGTGGATTGATCTTGGAGAAAATTTCTTGTATAAAACTTTCCTTAATCTTAGTGGATAGCAGACATATAATACCTATATTATACTCTTGGGGAACTCTACTTTTGTGATGTCACTGGATAAACTTTATAAATACTAGATTTACTAAATACAGGTAGTCCCTGGGTTAAGGACGCCCAGTTTATGGATGACCCATAGTTAAGAATGGAACCTATTGTAACAAAATTCAAGTTAAATACATAATGATTTGAGTTAAATACACAATGGTTTGAATTAATTACACAATACAGGTAGTCCTTGTTTAAAGACCACAATAGAGACTGTAAAATTTATTGTTAAGCAGGGAGATCATTAAGTGAGGCATAACGTGACCACACCCGATTTTATGACATTTTTTTCTAGTGGTTGTTAAGTGAATCACCATGGGCATTAAGTGAATCACATGGCTGTTAAGCAAATCACACAGTCATTAAGCAAATCACACGGTTCCCCATAGATTTAGCTTGTCAGAAGCTGCCTGGGAAGGTCACAAATGGCAATCACGTGACCCCGGGATGCTGCAACCATCATAACTGCAAGCTGGTTGTCAAGCACCTGGATCGCGATGGTTGTAAGTAGCTTTTTTCAGCAGTGTCATAACTTTAAACGGTTGCTAAATGAATGGTTGTTAAGCAAGGACTACCTGTACTACTTATATAGTATCATACAATAATACTGTTCTGGCTTATGTACAAATTCGACTTAAGGACATACCTTAGGAATGGAACTTGTTCTTAAACTGGGGACTACCTGTAGATGAGTCCTTGAGAACAAAGCACACTGTTATTAAGAAATATGGTACTTGGTATGAAAGGCATTCTTGTGTTTAAGGCAATAGAGAAACAAGACCTGAAATAAAATGTGTATGTAACGTGCATCCATGCTTATTTTATTTATTTATTTATTAAGCAAATCCATATAGCTACCCATCTCATCAAAAGTGATTCTGGATGGTGTACAACAATCAGATAAAAACAAATATATAACAACATGAAAAATATATATATAAAAAAATAAAAATAAAAAAATAAAATGTTGATTGACTTTGAAAAATGAGGTGCGTAGTAACCCTTTTTCAGATACTGTTGTCTACTTTCTGCAACATCAAGTTTTCATTTTGTAATTTGGCATTAATATACACCACACTAAATGTACTGACTATAAAGTCCTTGGGGAAAGAAGTATAACTGAGCAGCCCCATATTCCAGTTAGGCAAGGAGAGGAAGAATTATTCCAGTCCAGTGGCTGTTCTGTCCTATGCGCCCACTGGGCCCAGTTGGAGAGAGGGGAGTACACCATTCAGAACATACCAAACAGCAGCCACACCACCAGCATCCCTAGAAGCACTGCCCATTCACACCAGTCAAGGCTTGCGTGCCATCAAAACATAAAGGGAGCCAGTGGACTCATGTTGACAGAATACGATCTCCAGAACCATTGTAGTGAACAATGTGACACTGTAATGCAGGTGATTCTTCAGGTCGAGATTTAAGTCACTCTAAGTCTAAGGGAGCAGCTACCTTTTCCTTCTGTCTGTTCATGGAATTCATGGAAGCAATACTATGAGATCACATTGTGGCATTTCTAAAGAAAAATTCAGCTCAGTTTTGAAAGCAAGATACACTCTTCTTGAAAAT